TCTGAAACTGAGAGTGTTTTTTGGTTTTTGTCTTGTGTTTGGTGTTTGTTTGTTTGTTTTGTATGTCTTGTCTTATGCTCTAAGAAGGCAATGTTGGGCTACTAGCCCCACTGTGCTGACAATGGGCGTGAGCCGACTTCTGTAGCTTTTATGTACAAGGACGAAACACTTCAGGTCTTGTTCATCTTCCACCAGGGTTTGCCTGTTTCGGTAGTTTACAAATATTTTCTCCAGTATTTGAATATGATCTATTCTTTCTTTCTTTAGATAAGATTTATGAGCCTAGGAAATGCTTAAACTTGTGATTGTTTAAAGCAATGCGATGTTTTAGCCCTTTTTAAGAGAAAATTAGAAGAGTTGTTTCTTATTTTTTTTCTTTAGATGTAATTCATTTTGAATTTGCAGGTCAGATTCCAGGGACCACCCCAACCGTTCCAGGAATATTTCCAAACATGTTCCCTCTGGCATCTGGGCAGGTACCTTTTTTTCCCCTTTATGACATTTGCATTTTGAAATTTATGCAGATCTTTTGCTTTACCTTTAATTTTTTTATTTTATCATGTGGCAGTTGGCGCTTCCTCTTTTGCCTGTTCAGGCAATGACTCAGCAGGTCGGCAGGATCAATTTTTTACTACTTTTTTCTTGGTTCCTTTTCCTTTTTGTTTATTTTGTGCTTTTTTTTTTTTCCTAACATTTTACTTGGTATTTTATATTGCCAGGCTACTAGACATGCTCGGCGGGTGTATGTTGGTGGGCTTGCTCCCTCTGCAAATGAACAGGTATATGCTGTTGTAGCTTATTGCTTTCTAGTATTTGCTCCTTCCATTGATCAGTGAACCTTGATAAGTTTTTTTTATCACATCTACAATGTGTGATCTCTATCCAATTTCGGGGTTTTATAGTTTGTCATAAAATACTGATTCTTATTGGTCTTCTGGATTTTGATGCCTATGAAATAAAAAGATTTACTTAAGAAATTCACCTTTTATCTAGTATGCTATTGGGATTTTGGTTGATTCCAGTGGCATGTATAACTGAGATAATCAAAGTTGATATATTATTCACGGCATTCAAGAATATATTATGAATTGTTGATATGCTTCAAAATATTTGATTATGGTTGTTTCTGGCACTTTGTACTCTTGCTTTCCAGTCTGTGGCAACCTTCTTCAGTCATGTTATGTCTGCAATTGGGGGAAACACTGCTGGTCCAGGTTTTTCAGTATCCAATTTTATTTCAGCTGCATAGCTAAATTCCTTTCTTAAGATGCTATAAGTGTTTCTTTCCGTGATGTTCAGGGGATGCTGTTGTCAATGTTTACATAAACCATGAGAAGAAGTTTGCCTTTGTGGAGATGAGATCTGTTGAGGAGGCCAGTAATGCCATGGCCTTAGATGGAATTATTTTTGAGGTATTTGGTTGTCTTCCTGAATCAATTAGGGCTGGAAGTTCGTGTGTGAATTATGTTTTGGTATTCCTTCTCCACCTTCTATGTCTTAGATTTGAGGAAAGATGGGTGAGCTTTTCTCTCTCTTATCCAATGAGGATAGTGGTATAGCCAGATCAAGAAGATATTTCTTTTTATAGTTAACATCACAATGTCCTTGATATCATTGTGAACAGCCATTGTCCTTGTCAGAAGCCTTTTGCATGCATCAAGATAAATTCTTTTTGGTACTTCTTTTTTGGCTTCTTTCTTGCCAAATCCTTGTTGTTCTGTGATATTATGTGGGAATTGCATTTCTTTTATGTAGCCATATTTCATGCACTTTTCTATTACGCGATTATATGTATCTTTGTTCTGCAGGGAGCGCCAGTTAAGGTCAGAAGACCTAGTGATTACAACCCATCACTGGCTGCTACTCTTGGCCCAAGCCAACCTAATCCCAACCTGAACCTTGCAGCTGTTGGTTTGACACCGGGTTCTGCTGGTGGGCTCGAGGGCCCTGACCGTATCTTTGTGGGTGGGCTGCCCTATTATTTCACAGAGGCACAGATCAGGGAGCTGCTGGAGTCTTTTGGGCCCCTTCGGGGTTTTGATCTTGTGAAAGATAGAGAAACCGGAAACTCAAAAGGCTATGCATTCTGTGTCTATCAGGATCTTTCGGTCACAGATATTGCATGTGCAGCTCTTAATGGTATAAAGATGGGAGATAAAACTCTTACTGTTAGGCGTGCTAACCAGGGTACAACACAACCTAAACCAGAGCAAGAGAGTATATTATTGCATGCACAGCAACAAATTGCCATGCAGGTAAGAATGTTATATTTCTATTTGTCTGGCATTATAATTTTCAAAAAAAAAAAAAAATACATGTATGTCAGATGATTCTGAGTCTTGTCATTATTACATGGAAGAAATACATCTAACTCAGATGATTGAGTCATATCACTTTTACATGGTGCAAATTGCCAGCTTAGCCTTTAATACGCATTTATAGGTTCATTTCTTAGTATCATTTTTTTTGCAGAGACTTATGTTACAACCTGGTGCACTGGCTACAAAGGTTATATGCTTAACTCATGTGGTTACTGCGGATGAGCTCAAGGATGACGAGGACTACGAAGATATATTGGAAGATATGAGAACAGAATGCGGGAAATTTGGTAAGTATTTACTCGAAGCTATTTTTGGTCATCTATTGTTTATTCTCATCTTTTGTTCTTTTCTACTTGCCAATCTTCTTGTGCACATATATTGATTTTCTTTTTGTTATATTCTGTTGTTTTACAGTTTTTGTAGTTCCACATTCTGCTACACAGATTCAGCCCCCTTAACATACAGACAGAAGATTCCATTGCCTTCTCTCTATATTTACCCGAGTCTTCCTCGTTTATTTTGGTATATAAATTTGGGTCTTTAACTTTTTTTTTTTAATTTGAAATGGCAGGTACTTTAGTGAATGTGGTTATTCCACGTCCAAATCCAAATGGGGAACATGTTCCTGGACTTGGAAAGGTTAGTGTGGTCTCACTCTATCAATCCTTGGGCTGATGGATGATGTAAGAAACTTTGTTTGCTCTAAAAATTAATTGGTCGAGGACATGAACAGTATTAAATGATGGTTGGATGTGTGACATGTGTCTTAGTATGCTGATTGTTACTGACGTTATTGAGAAGGGACTTCAGCTTTTACTTTGTTCAAACTGTCCTTTTTCTCTTGAGCATAAAAATACCTGCAATCTATTTATGTGGATGTATCGACTTTTTGAAGTCCACTTGCTTATAATGATTGCCTTGTTTCTTTAGGTGTTCTTGGAGTATGCAGATGTTGAGAGTGCAACTAAAGCTCGAACTGGCCTAAATGGTAGAAAATTTGGTGGGAATCCGGTTGTGGCTGTGTTCTATCCAGAAAACAAGTTCTCTGAGGGAGATTATGATGGCTAGTTGTTGTCTGCTCTTCGTGATGTCTTATTAGGATCTCTCTGATAAAAAGATGATTTATGAGTTGATGTTCTAAACTATACAGCTTGCATTTTTTGCTTTACTGCCCTCTTTCTAATTTTTGGTGCAGAAATGACGGTGGGAGTAAAACTGACTAATTACGGTATTGTCCAAACCTTTTTGGAGAGATACCTTCATAGTATGTATTTTTCCAATTGTACTTGGCCCACATTCCTGCATACAAATGGTTCTGTTTCCAAGTGTCTTATTTTTCCTCAAGTAAACCCAACTCTGCACCCAAAAAATGGTTCTTTTTTCATTTCTTGCATCATCACATCTCTCTCTCTCTCTCTCTCTCTCTCATAAATAAAATGCATGCAAGCACACATTTCACACCGACACAAGCCAGGATGAAGGGTTTGAACTCCCTCGAAGCTTGCATATACCATGTTGGGAGGAGGGGCTTGAGTTTGTGGTGGTCCTCTGGGCTCTGGATTTCTCTTGTATGCAGGTATATGAGTCAGTTTGATATAATTTATTGATCTCTTGTGGGCAACTAATAGAATTCTCTCGGCTTTTTTGTTAAGTGAGTGAGGTAAATGCGAGAATAAAATGACAAAGGTTGCTCAAGTTTAAGTGGTTTGTGTTGTTGAAGAGCAAAGTTAGTCTGTTGTAATTGAGGTTCTTGTTCTTTTGGTTGTGTATTGCCCGAGGTAAGAGATGACAGAAATGTCATTACACTAATAATCATTACTTTTTATAACAGAAATGTCAGAATATTTGAGAAATAGTTGATAGTTGGAGGCTTCTTTCCTAAGTTGTAATGTGGTGGGTTTTTGGGTGAAAGTCTTATTTTTTCCCTTGGTAGTTTTCTTGTTGATGGTCAGCCTTTGACGTCTTCATCTGGTATTATCAGATATTATCACGAATAACGACGCCATCGTATGAAGGAGGGATGGTAACTGTGTCGGTTGTCTTTGTGTTGTGATCGGTACTAATTAATTTTAATTCAATTTATTTAATTAATTGTGTTATGTAGATTAGTCATATTTATTATTGTATTGTGTATGTATAATTTGTGAATTAAAAATATAATAAGATTTAAGTTTAAGATTTTATTATCTCTTTAATAATTCACGCTGTGAGTTTTTATAAACAAAAAGTAAACTCTTAAAAATAGATAAAAGCATCATTTTTTGTACAATGAATGGTTATACTATGGTTGTTCTTTTGATATTAATCAGATTTATTTATTGTTCGTATTAATAGGTAATTGTAACTCGTTAATTTGGTGTGGTGTGAGAAATTATCACCATTCTAAGTGGACCAAAAAACTCCAGGTTTTTTATTATGCAATTATTTGATTACATCGTCTAAATTATTTGTTTGGATAAAAAATTTACAGTCTAGTGCACAAATAAAATATGACTTTAAAATCATATACTTTAATCTGTTGATCGTGCCGGGTGACACGAGTTTATGTCGTTTATATTTAATTTATTTATTAATTTATGTTTAACTAATTGTGACAGTGTATATGAATCATATATAATTAATATATAAATGAATAATATCATATATTTTTTTTGATTGAAGTAAATAATTTTAAGAGAGATGCTGATGTATGTCAATTTTAAAGGAGACGTTGATGTATATCGAATGACTTTATTTAAAACCCTGAAGTGTAATGAAATTATTGAAGTCTTTTTATATTATAAAAAATTATAAACTATAAAATAGATAATTTAAAGAAGACTTAACGACAAATTTTGATTTCACATTTAACGTGCTTAACCTCAAAAACCCTGAGTTAGCTTGCAGTCTCCCTCACCACCCTCAGTTATCATTTCCTCCCCAAAACCCAAAAGCCCCTCAAACCCTAGAAATGTCTTCCTCCCTCGCTCTCCGCCATGCCCGCCACCTCTCAAGCACAGCCACTGCCGCCGCCAACACCACCACAGCCACAGCCACAACAGCTACCATCTCTATCTCCAAAGCCAAAGCTAAACTCAAATCTGAGTACGACCCAGACAAAGCCCTAGAAATCTATTCCTCCGTCTCCAATCACTATACCTCTCCAGTCTCCTCTCGCTACGCCCAAGATCTCACCGTTAAACGCCTAGCAAAGTCACACCGGTTTGCCGAGATCGAAACTCTCGTTGAATCCCACAAAAAGGACCCTAAAATCACCCAAGAACCCTTCCTTTCCACCCTCATTCGATCATATGGCCGTGTCGGTATGTTCGACCACGCCTTCAAAACCTATAACCAAATGGACGATCTGGGTACACCCAGATCAGCAATTTCCTTCAATGCCCTTTTGACAGCTTGTAATCAATCAAAGCTTTTCGACCAAGTCCCCAAACTGTTCGACGAAATTCCCGCAAAACACGGGTTTTCGCCTGACAAGGTGTCCTATGGGATTTTAGTTAAGTCATATTGTGATTCGGGTTCGCTTGATTTAGCTATGGATACATTGAAAAATATGAAGGAAAATGGGATGGAAAGAACGACTATCACTTACACCACGGTGATGGATGCCTTGTATAAGAAAGGGAGAGCGGATGAAGCTGAGAAAATTTGGGATGAGATGGTGCACAGAGGGTGTGAACTGGATGTTGGGGCTTATAATGTTAGGCTATTTAATTTACAGGGTGGTGATCCGGAGAATGTGAAGGGTTTGATTGAGGAAATGAGCATTGCAGGGTTGAAACCCGACACGATTAGTTACAACTATTTGATGACTTGTTATTGTAGGAATGGGAGATTGGATGAGGCTAAGAAGGTCTATGAGGGGTTGGAGGGAAATGGGTGTCATCCTAATGCGGCAACATTTAGGACTTTGATTTATTATTTGTGTAGGAATGAGCAGTTTGAGAAGGGGTACATGGTGTTTAAAGAGAGTGTGGGGGCGCATAAGATTCCGGATTTTAATACGTTGAAGTATTTGGCTGAAGGGTTGGTGAAGAAGTCGAAAATGAAGGCGGCAAAAGGGTTGATTCGGACTGTGAAGAAGAGGTTCCCTCCTAATGTTTTGAAGGCTTGGACAAAACTTGCGGAGGATCTTGGTTTGGCTTCCTCCGAGTCTGAGGCCAACTCTGGTGGGATAAAAGAAGCCAGGACATGAGTATTGGTAGACATTTAGGTAAGTAGAGTGCACTTGGATTCGATCATTAGCAATATGGAGCAATAGATAACCCTGGTGAGATAAAAGAAGCCAGGACACGAGTATTGGTAGACATTTTGGTAAATGGAGTGAACTTGGATTTGATCATCAGCAATATGGAGCGATTTGATACAATTGACTGAGATGTCATGAGTGATGCAAATAGGGGGTGGCAGCGATGCTCATTTGTCATGAGTGATGCAAATAGTGGTTGGCCAGGATGCTAGTTTTTGCTGCTCGGCTGTGAACTGGATGTGGAGCTTTCGTTGAAGTTCTTTTATGTTTCAGAAGAGGTGTAAACACCTTGGTTCAATTATTGCCCTTGTTTAGTGTCCAGCATCTCATATAACTCTGAAATTTTGGTTCTTTTTCTGTCAAGTTTTGTCATTTTAATGAGGCTGCTAATGTGTGGCCTTGCTCAACGTGTTGCATTATCATTTCTCATACACTTTGGGTGAATCGGACACTGATTTTCGTGATTTCCTTGAGGATCAACTTAGAAGCTGTTAGCCCATTGTTGCTCATTTCTGAAGAGATGAGCATATTTTTGCATCTGCAGCTGAGCTTTGTGCTCAACGGTGGCCAATAGAAAGTCCGCAGTAGTAGTAAATAGCTATATTTCATCTTTATGACTAAGACACCATAAGTGGATGTTTATTGCATATGCATATACCGACAAAATTCAATTAGTATCACATGCTTATATGTAGGGCACATCATATATATATGGTATGTTATTTTTTGAATTTTGATACTTTGTGACAATGATAACGTGGTCAACCTGACAGTAGGGGTGTACTTACGCAGAGTGTGAATGTGAATTACCAGCTTTCTGGTTTATTTCCTGAGAGTTCTCTCTGGGTTTTTATTTTCCTGCTGTTGTTGTTGTTGTGTATATATATGCGATGCATCCACAATCAAAGAGCTGGTTCTGGTAGGATGATTTATCACCAATTTGGTGAACTGAGCTCGAGTAAGAAGGAATCAGTTTTAAGCATTTAAACTTCAAACTTTGCTCTAGAAGACAGCATAAGTTCATTGACCATTTGGCCATTTCCAGCTTTTGAGCTTTATTATCTATATGTGTACTCTGACTTACAAGGATTGGATTGGACGTAACTGAATTGGAGTCAGTTATCACAACATTTACAATGCTACAGCTTCTTCCTCCTTATCTATTAAACCCTGCATACAACTGTTGTTTTATTCTCTGCAAGCCCCTTCTCTGGCTGACAGTTTTAAGTCCGGCCAGAAGAGTTTACCAAAGAACTTTACCCTGATTGTATATTTGGCTAAATCATACTCTGCCTCTTAATCTTAGAGTCTTGTTGACATGTACTCCTTTCAGTTTAGACAAATTACCCTTCTTATATTTTAAAGGAGAAGACTACGGTACTTAAAAAAAAAAAATTAATATCGCTCTTTCAAATTTTATAATTTTAATAAATATTTTTGTAACTTTTGTGGGTCACATATGTACACACACTCCTTCCCATATCACCCTCATCACATCAAAACCCACAACCACAACCACTACTAGCTCTGGTCGACGCCTCTTTTTAGAATGGTAAGAACGTGAGTAACTTTGCTTGAACTTAAGATATACTAATTTGCCTATTATTATGGTTTGATTAACGATGAATCCCAATATCAAATGTTCAAATCCAACAACATAAATAAAAGAAATCAACAAATTTGGTTCAATTAATACTACTGATTTTGTAGAGAGGGTCTCTCTCTCTCTCTCTTCTTTGAAATAATTAGATAAAACTAGAATGGGACAAACTATTTCTTAATGTAATCGACATTGTATTTTACATATGAATATGCTTATGACACTAAGAAAAAAGATTGTTACATTTTTAAAATTGTTTTATAGTAATAGATATTGGTTTGATTGATTTGTAGCCATTAATTTTAAAAATAATGAATTACTATAAAATATAAATTTGTATACGTGTCACTTTCTTAACGAATAACATTATTTTAGTCGATGAAAGTAAATAATGAATTAATAATAAACTAAAAAACAGACGAGAGACTTTAGAAACAAAAATATTTGAGAGGAGTAGGACTAAAACAAAATCCATAGAATGTAATATTAGTAAAAAAACCATCCAACTCCGAAAGTAGTAAAAAATTAATGATAAATATGTGTTATGGTCATTTTTCATAGAGACTTATTAGAGTTTGGTGACCATGTTGTTCATATATTTAAAATAAAATATAATAAATAGAGAACTGCATCCCATGGAATGTGTAATAGACAAATACCCATTAAATAAAAGTATATATATATTTTTATATATAAAATGGTCTAATGCGATAACAATTGACGATAAAATAAATGTAGATATTTACCCCTTGAAGTTTGTCACTAACACACATGGGCCCCCTCAGGTATGGCAATTTACAATGACACCCCTTATCAATAACTGCTTGGAAACGGCACTGACGGAAATAACAAAAAAACCATTTTAGCCCCTACCCATTATCCAAGAAAAATTAACACCTAAACAAACCTAAGCCCAACCAAAGAATATTTCAAACCCATATCCAAACAAGCCCTAAACCCAAAAATAATCTAACACCCACTGCCTTTACACTTCTTCCTCCCCAATACCCACCCCCACGCCCACTGTCCACACTCAGCAACCACCATACCCACCTCTCTCTCTCACACACACACAAGATGCAAACTACCCGATTGCATTTCTCCTCATTCATTCGATCCATATCTCTCTCCTCTCTCTCACACACATACACACACTAGTCCCGAAGCTAACAACCCCCCCTTTAAGCCTAGTTGTGCCTCCTACACCACCCCTATCTATCTTTGGCTTGCATAAAAATATGCTGGGATTTGTGGGAGGTTTTGGTGGCTAGGTTATTTAAGGGGTAGTTTAGGGATTGTGTGATGTAAATATGCTTGGTTGGTATTTCAGACAGACATTAACAGTAAGGGTTTATAACTTTATATGTTACCACATATCAAACTTGAAGGGATGACAATGTTATTTTTCATACTTGAGGGCATATGTGTGTATTAGTGACAAACTTCAGGGGTCAAATATAATTTACTCAATATTTTATGATTTTATTACACCGAAGAAACGTTTGAAGCTGTTCTCTGAGCCCCCAAATCCCCAAACCAGCTGGAAAGAACGGGATTAGGGTAAAACCCTGAGACAGTAGCCAGCCCGGCAGCCCTCGTTCGAGATTGAACGTGAAGGAGAGAGAGTGAGAGCACGATGACGACGCGAATTGCTCCGGGCGTCGGAGCAAACCTTCTAGGCCAACACTCCGCCGAGAGGAACCAAGACGCCACCGCCTATGTCGGCAACCTTGACCCCCAGGTTACCGAGTTATACACTCATATACTTCATTGCTAGCTTTATGCTTTCATAATGTTGGGTTTTGTGCTTCTAGGGCTTTTTGATCAGTCGTATTGATGCTGCTTAGAATTTAATATCAATCAATCTGAGTCGATTAGTTATAACTTGAGTTTTCTGACCACATGAATGAAGGTCTGGTTGTACTGTTCTTAGGATTTTTATGTGAATAAGAAAATTGAGTGGCTTAATCATACATTGAAGTACATTTTTGTCCAGCACGAGCTGATTGAATTGTTCTTTTTCCCTAACGTCTTACTATTCTATTATTGGTTGAACATCTGTGAGCTCATGCTTGTTTCTTGTTTGCTTGCAGGTCACTGAAGAATTACTGTGGGAGTTATTTGTCCAAGCAGGCCCTGTTGGTAGGTTTTGGTTCTCGATCATTTTGCAGCTTTGTTTAATGAAGCTTGTGTGTAATTCCCACATCTAGACTCGACACTCTTTTGCCTACCTCCCCCCCCCCCCCCCCTTTTTTTTTTTTTGGGGGGGGGGGGTTTGGGGTTTGAACAACAAAGGGCAATTAATGAAGTCCAACAACGGGTTTTCCAACAAGCCTTACAAGGAGCTCTAGGAACTCTAGATAATTGTTTGAACAACGTACCATCAGTGCCAATATTAGCATGTTGGGGGCGATGAAAGAAATAAATGTAGGAATTATTATTATTTTTTTCAAAAAAGAATTTAAATTAGAACTACTCATGGTAACCATTTGAGCTGACGAAATTAGTAATATTATTCGTGAACGGATTGAACGTACTTCAAGTAGGTGATGGAATTGCTCTTATTCATGGTCTTGATGAAGTAATGTCAGGTGAATTAGTAGAATTTGAAGAGGATACCATAGGCATTTACTCTGAATTTGGAATCAAATAATGTTGATGTTGTATTAATGGGTGATGGTTTGATGATCCAAGAAGGAAGTTATGTAAAAGCAACAGGAATGATTGCTCAGGTACCAGTGAGTGAGGCTTATTTGGGTCGCGTTATAAATGCCCCGGCTAAACCTATTGATGGTAGATGTGAAATTTCAGCTGGTTTTTTTTTTTTTTTTTTGTTTTATCTTTTTGGGGGGGGGAGTTTTTTAACCATTCAACTGGTTAGTTAATCAGCCAATTTGAATAAGTTTAAAGAGGATCCACCAAGAATTGCAATTTGGACATTATAGCTCATACTCTCATAACATATATATGAATAATACATTATAGATGTACATGATTGTTTGTTGGAATTATCTTAGCAAGTTAAATGCACTTGTGGATTTTTTTTATTGCAGTTAATGTGTACGTGCCTAAAGATAGGGTTACCAATCTTCATCAAGGTTATGGCTTTGTAGAATTTCGAAGTGAAGAAGATGCTGACTACGTGAGTGTTGCTTGTTACTGTAATTAAGCTGTTCATAACTTTTCTAATCTATTTAAATCATAGGGACTTTCTTGTCTAGCTGTATGCTCATTTGGTGAGTTATTTAGATTTGAGATTGATCATTTTCTCAAAATTATGCAGGCAATAAAAGTTCTGAACATGATTAAACTCTACGGGAAGCCAATACGAGTGAATAAGGTGTGAAATTTTAATTTCTATTACATCCTTTGTTATAATACTTCATGTATCAACTTATGAATATATGTTTTCCAGCTTTTGAAGTATCTGCATGGATAAAATGCGAGATCTAGTGCTTTTTTTTTTTTTCACGGAAAATTTGGTGTTCGTTTTGTGCTTGGGTTGCAGGCATCACAAGATAAGAAGAGCTTGGATGTAGGAGCAAACCTTTTTATTGGAAACCTCGACCCTGTAAGAATTTAAATCTTCAAACACACTTCCTCCTGTCTCTCGTATGCCCTAAACATATATATGTACACGGTGAGGCACGCATAGGCACAGACACACACACTCGCTCTCACTGACTCATTCTTGTCTATATACATGTCTCATAGATCCTGCTGTACATCTTATGCTGGTTATATAAACTTGAATGTTTGCCAATGTACTTTGCAGGATTTAGACGAGAAACTTCTACATGACACTTTTATGGCATTTGGAGTCATTGTCACCAATCCCAAGGTCATTTTTCTTTTGTCATGCATTGGCAGATGATGTAATGTTGCTGCATGAGAATCTTGTTAGTGTATGTGGATATGCCTTGCAAAAACAACACTCTTGCATCCCATGAATTCTTTGTTATGTGTTTTCCGTATATGCTGATTATCAATGTAATACGTTGCTTAATGAAAATTTTATGTCTATCATAAACATTGGCTATTGTCTTTCACCACAGTACACTTTGTTGTAGGATTTTGCGAAGATCTATAGCAATTTGTTATGTTTGAAATCAAGCTTATGGACTAAACTTGATGGTTGAGGTAACATGCTGCTAAAGAATCCAATCAATGAGTAAGGAAAATTTATATAATTATTTTTTGGATATATTCGTAATAGCGATGGGGGTCAGACCCTAGCATCCGCTCCATAGGAGCCCTGGGCTTAAGACCCAAGTTGGCAAGCAAAAAAATCAAGAACTTTAATGTTGCGATAAAAGGAAGAGAAGATAAAGAAACCTTGGCCAAGTTTATTGGTACTCACACCTAAGGGAGCATGTGTCATACTTCATGACTGATTGGTTGGGGAGTATCATTTCGTTCACTTACTAAAATCACCATGTTTATGATGAGTTAAAACTAGGATGGGGACCCGAGTTAAAAGGTACCGCATATATAAAGACTTAAAACCTGGATGGGAGCTAAGCAAACTTGGCAGAAAATTGGGCTAAGGTTTGGAGGTATGAAAACCCACCAAATCTTTCAAGCGGGCACAAAATGGACGATAAAGGTTTGTTATAAGTGACTATGCTTTTAGGTATCTGCCAAAAAGATTGATCATTAATCATCAAGAACATAAAGGGGGCAATTTACTAACGGCACCTCAAATATTTAAAAAAAAACCCATGAACTAAAATGTTATATAGAAAAGGGCCAAATAATCAATTATCCAAATAGTGTTTATTTAAATTTTAAATCCCTTAATTGCTAATAGAAATAGCAACAATCTAGCCAATTGAACTTGTAGAAAATGAGGAATTAAAGGAAGGGAAAGCATCAACCATCATTGCTTTTTACTAGCACCTGCATCCCCCACTTTCTGTGATGATATTGTTGTCTATCCTTTGAATCCCCACCAACTCTTTCTCTCTCCCTCTCACACACACATGCCTGCGCGCGCTTTTGTGCGCAAGCACCTGACGCTGTCAATCTGATTTTAGTCTAAGAAGCCAAAGTAAGATGCTTTTTTCTTGAATGCTATGACCCTGACCACCACTTGCTATTGCCGGCTCTCTCGTAACAGCAGTTGGGCCATGACGTAGGGCTGGAGGAACCTCCAACCCAATGTGGAGACAACTATTGTCTTTTACAGTTTACAGTGCATCTTCTTCATAGAAAAAAGGTTTTTGATTCGAGAGGTCTTGAGGTAGTCCATTATCTGTTAACGGCGGGGCTATATGTAAGCTTGGGGGGCCATAGGCCACTGACCTTTCAACAGCACAAACACACGCATTCTCTTTAAACCATGACTTTCTCTAAATTAGTGTATTTCCCCTTTTGATTTTTTAAAGGTTCATGTAATGGCCATATATTTTGCTTTCTGGTAAGTTAGTGGTCATTATCCCCCACCCCCAAAAAAAAAAATAGATTTTGTAATATAAATGTGAAATGCCTCAACTCTTCTATATATTTACCAAAGAGAATTTATATCTTTTGTTAATACATTGTCCCAATTTGTTAAAATACTTGTGTAGTTCCCATAACTTTTTTTGGGAAGTCAATGATCTGTAACTCAATAAAACATGAAGAGATGCAAATTGTAAAAATTTTCAGCCCAAAGGAGTTAAAAATCAATTTCTCAACGAGATGGATGATGATTTTAGCTAGGTTTTGGAACAAAAGTAATTGAGTTTATGACTTTGTCATGAACTCTATGATGATATTCATCGAAAAAATATTACTAAGAAACTTATCATAGTGTCATTTGCACACGATAACCGAGATTTGAAAAATTATTATGTTTAACTTTTGTATATTATTGATATCAATTTTATTTTTCATGTAGCAATTTAATCATGAATCTTAGTATATATCATGCTTGAACTTAAAAATTTTGTATATCGGTAGGCGTTTGTTTGTTTTGTTCCCCCCCCTCCCCCCTTTTTTCCCTCTTCAACCAACCAAACAAATATCTTGGTTCCGCCCCTGTCGGTTAGTGTGATCCAGTTTCTGTTTGCCTGTCACAAGAGGTGTTCTCAACTATATACATCATCTCTGAAGAAAAGATACACTGTTTTGTTGTGCTTAATTTTTTTATCGTATTGTATTGGTGCTTCTTTGCTGTTGGATTCTCATTTTTGCTGTTTTCTGATTTAGATAATGAGAGATCCTGAGACAGGGAACTCCCGTGGTTTTGGTTTCATTAGCTATGATTCTTTTGAGGCATCTGATGCAGCTATTGAGGTATTTTTGTAGCTATTGTCTTTTACTCATAGTGGCAGTTAGATTTCAATGGATATCTAAAGTTCAAAACACAGAGACGTTAAATGGCATTGCAAGTCATAGTTTAACACATTACTTCAAGAATTCCCAGTCTTGCATGACTCATTTTTCTGTTTCATTATTGTTGATTCTGGAATTGATTGATTCAATTTGCAGGCAATGAATGGCCAATATCTTTGCAACCGCCAGATAACAGTGTCCTATGCATACAAGAAAGACACTAAGGGGGAGCGTCATGGTACCCCAGCAGGTCAGACTTTGCTATTCATCAGAGTTCCTGTGCAAACTTACCTACCTACGGGACTACACATGTTTTTGTCGTGTTCCAACATTGTATACAGTTTATTATTGAGGATATCGNATTTACCAAAGAGAATTTATATCTTTTGTTAATACATTGTCCCAATTTGTTAAAATACTTGTGTAGTTCCCATAACTTTTTTTGGGAAGTCAATGATCTGTAACTCAATAAAACATGAAGAGATGCAAATTGTAAAAATTTTCAGCCCAAAGGAGTTAAAAATCAATTTCTCAACGAGATGGATGATGATTTTAGCTAGGTTTTGGAACAAAAGTAATTGAGTTTATGACTTTGTCATGAACTCTATGATGATATTCATCGAAAAAATATTACTAAGAAACTTATCATAGTGTCATTTGCACACGATAACCGAGATTTGAAAAATTATTATGTTTAACTTTTGTATATTATTGATATCAATTTTATTTTTCATGTAGCAATTTAATCATGAATCTTAGTATATATCATGCTTGAACTTAAAAATTTTGTATATCGGTAGGCGTTTGTTTGTTTTGTTCCCCCCCCTCCCCCCTTTTTTCCCTCTTCAACCAACCAAACAAATATCTTGGTTCCGCCCCTGTCGGTTAGTGTGATCCAGTTTCTGTTTGCCTGTCACAAGAGGTGTTCTCAACTATATACATCATCTCTGAAGAAAAGATACACTGTTTTGTTGTGCTTAATTTTTTTATCGTATTGTATTGGTGCTTCTTTGCTGTTGGATTCTCATTTTTGCTGTTTTCTGATTTAGATAATGAGAGATCCTGAGACAGGGAACTCCCGTGGTTTTGGTTTCATTAGCTATGATTCTTTTGAGGCATCTGATGCAGCTATTGAGGTATTTTTGTAGCTATTGTCTTTTACTCATAGTGGCAGTTAGATTTCAATGGATATCTAAAGTTCAAAACACAGAGACGTTAAATGGCATTGCAAGTCATAGTTTAACACATTACTTCAAGAATTCCCAGTCTTGCATGACTCATTTTTCTGTTTCATTATTGTTGATTCTGGAATTGATTGATTCAATTTGCAGGCAATGAATGGCCAATATCTTTGCAACCGCCAGATAACAGTGTCCTATGCATACAAGAAAGACACTAAGGGGGAGCGTCATGGTACCCCAGCAGGTCAGACTTTGCTATTCATCAGAGTTCCTGTGCAAACTTACCTACCTACGGGACTACACATGTTTTTGTCGTGTTCCAACATTGTATACAGTTTATTATTGAGGATATCGTTAGAAGAGTTGCATTGTAGGACAGTTCATGTGTTGAATTAGGTGTGAATCTGCAAGATCCTATTCCTTGCCTAATTAAAAACATGAGCAGAATTTGAATCCGACTGCAATGGATCTTAAATGACAGTAACAGAGTTTGAGTCTTCATATAGTATCCAAAAATGCAAGGTTGTAAAAGAGGATTTAGGGAAGGTTTTTGGGGAATTTTATAACAATGTGTGATGGATGTGAATACAAATGCTACTCTTATTTGCTTGATTTCAAAAAAATAAAATTCGTTGAAAATTGGAGATTTTAGATCAATAAGTTTGGTTACTAGTTTGTGTAAGATCTTGTCAAATGTGTTGTTTATAAGATTGAGGGGAGTTTTAAGAGATATAATTTCAGGTAATCAGAGTGCATTTGTTATAGGGTGACAAATTTTGGACAGCATTTTGATGGCTAATGAATTGTTCGAGGAGTATAGAGTGAAAGGTGAAGAAGGGAATATTTTTAAAATTAAATTTGAAAAGGCTTATGATTATGTAGATTTGGGATTCTTGGATTGTGTTTGAAGGTAAAAGTTTTGAGACTAGATGGAGATGATGAATTAGGAATTATTTATCTTCTATGAATTTTTCAGTGGTGGCTAATGGTAAGCCACGCATGAGATTTAATGTCTCTAGGGGTTTGAGGCAAGGAGATTTGCGTTCACCATTTTGTTTACTTTGGCAGTTGATGGATTAAGTACATTGGTGAATAGAGGAGTGAAATATGGTTTAGCGGAAGGGTTTTTGGTGGGGAATGATAGGGTTAGTGTTTCTCACCTTAGTTTGCGGATGACACTATTTTTTCATATTAGTAGAGGAGCAGAAGTTCATGAATTTAGTTGACATTTGTGAGGATTTTTTTTGTTTGGTTTGCAGTTGAAAGTGAAGTTGTCAAAGAGTTCAGTTGTGGGTATTATTGCTTAGGGGGTTGGGGTGTGAAGTGAGTGAGTGACTTTTAAAATATTTGAGCCTTCCATTGGGAGGAAATCCTTTATCCCTTACTTTTTTGGAATCCGGTTGTGGAAAGAGTGCAAAAGAGATTAGATGGGTGAAAAAAGAGTTATTTGTCAAGTGGAGGGCGATTTACTCTAATTCAAGCGTTTTTGGGTAGCATACCTACTTATTTTATGAGCCTCTTAGATGCTCTAAAAAGTAACTAAAATTTTCGAGAAGTTAATGGGGAATTTTTTGTGGGAAGAAAGTGGAGAAGGGAAGAAAGATCATCTAGTTAGATGGGAAGTTGTGTCATAATCAAAACTAAAAGGGGGGTTGAGAATAGACAGTTTGATTAAGAGGAATGTGATTTTACTAAGAAAGTGGTTTTAGAGGTTTCCGTTAGAGCCTGAGACGTTGTGGCATTCTATTATTAACAGTTAGAATGGAAATCCATGCCAATGGATGAGACTTTAACGTGGTGAGTAGAGGATCCTTTTGTAATTCTTGGAAATGTATCCCTTCAGATTTTGATGATTTTAGAAAGTACATTAGTTTGAGAGTGTGGGGAATAGGGGTGAGAGTTCGTTTTTGGGAGGATATTTGAATTGGTGACTTACCTTTTGCTCTATTATTCTCTCGGTTTCATCGATTGTTGGTTTTCATAATGTTCTTATGACAAGTTTGTTTTGTACTTCTTCCACTCAAAGGGGTTGGAACTTCAACTTTTTTCCGCAATCTTAATAATAGGGAAACTATAGAGTTGTCATCTTTTCTTCTTTTGCAATTCGGTTTCTTTGGATATGTTGATTAGAGAAAAAGAATTTGGTTTGTTGATTCATTTGAAAATTTTTCTTGTGGTTCTTATCTTCAATATTTGATTGATGATCCTAATTATTCTTTTTTGAACCTCATTTGAGGATTTGGAAGACTAAAGTGCCTGTTAAGGTGCAAGTGCTTGTTTGGATGATTGCTCACAGTAAGGTGAATATTTTTGATTTATTGCAAAAGAGAAGGCCTAACATTTATCTTTCTCCAAATTGGTGTGTTTTGTGTAAGGAAAACTGAGAAACTTTTGATCATTTGTTCCTTCATTGCTTTATTGCAAATTTTTTTGTGGCAAAAGCTTTTGTTATTTATTTTTTTTTTTTGGGGGGGGGGATTCTTGATGTGGGTTATGCCTCGCAAATTGTTATTTGTGATAAATCTTTGGAGGTTTTGGGAGTGGGAAAAAGCTTCTACATTGTGGCGATGTGCATTTTTTGAGTGTTGTGTATAGAGAGGAATCATAGAATTTTTGAAGAGGAGGAGGATAAGGAGATGTTATGGGATAGTGCAAAGTTCTTAGCATCTTTATGGGTGATGGCTTCAAATAAGTTGTGACATTTCATTATTGGTTTTCCAACATAATTGGAAAGTTTTTGTACTTCAGAGTCTTTTTTGACTACTCTCGTCTTTGTATTTTTTATTTTTTTGGATGGTTTTCTTATTCACCATTTATTTATGTTTTTCATCTTTTAATGAAATGAAAGTTGTGTTTTTTTTTTTTTAAAATATCCAAAAATGTGAGAAAATTCAATTTGAGTTTGAGAAAGAACAAAATTGCAATTTCAGCATTACTAAGCTTAGCAATATGTTTTCTAAGCAAATTGTCAAGCTACCCCCATAAATGCTTACGGGTCAGATTTACGTGGATTTAGGTTTAGTTCCAATTGGCATCAACTCTTTTTAAGTTGCTTTCTTATTTGGATGGTGGATCTTAATTGGCATCGGAATCAAACTCGTAAGGGATTTAAGATTGAGTAGGGTTTGGAGGGTGATCTGATCCATTGATGGCTATGAATTTGTTTCTTTTTGAATTATCAGCATTGACGTGATCAGTTATCTATGCCCCATTGTTATATGTAGTTGCTGGTGATTTATGATATGTGAGGACATAATTTGCAACCGATGAAATGCAGAGAGAGTGTTGGCTGCCAGTAACCCCACCACTGTAAAGAGCAGGCCCCACACATTGTTTGCCAGTGGACCTCCTACGCTTTCTAGTGTTCCTCAGGCCAATGGTACCATAGCTGCTCCAATACCTCCACGGCCTTTTGCAAATGGCGCTGTTCCTCCAGCTCCTATTGCAGCATTCCGTCCGCCTCCACAGGGTGGTGTCTTCCCACCGATGCAGATGTCTGCTCCTCCATCTTGGCATGGTCAGCCACAGCAACTGGGTCATCCAATGGGACCACCTTCTATGCCACCCCCACCATTTCAGCAGTTCAGGCCGCCTCCCCCGAACATGCTTCCGCCACCACCACCACAAGCTGCTCAAGCTTTAAGTAGGCCTCTCCCACCACCAGCTGGAATGACAGCTCCACCTGTTTGGAGGCCACCACCACCTCCTCAGCAGCTGACCGGAGGGATGCCACATATGTCAATGATGCCACCTCCTCCACCCAATGCACCCCCTCCACCGCCTCCTGCATCTAGTTGAAAACTTGAGGATATCTTCCCTAAATTATCTAAGCTCAAAATGTTTTGTTTACCATTTGCATCTCTTATTGTACAATTTTGTTACTTTTCTGCGGATTATATCGATTGTAAAATGTAATTGATAGAGTCCAGGGATACCTTAAAAGAAAAATTAAGGGAAGGGTGCTGGAGAATTTTGATTTCAAACCATTTAGCGATGGTTTTTGTGGCAGGAATCGAGTTTTACTTCGGCCGAATTCTGGCAATGTCCTTGAAGGGCCAAAATGGAGCTAATTGTCATGATCGGTTGGGTATGGGGTGTCATGTAGGATTACAAGGTTTGAACGGTTTTTCACCTAACTTCTTTAGTTTTTGGGTTTTGTGAGACCGTGACAAGTTGTATCAGAGCAGAACCCAGTACGTCACAACCTTGTTAGTCGCGTGGTTTCCTCATTGGGAATATAAGAGTCGAGGTAATATTGTGCCAGGTGGGTCTCTCACCTCCAAGGGTGGAGCCAAATGTGACGAGAGCGTTGCATCTTTGGGTGAGGGAGATTTTTATGTATCCTACTTTGGTTCGGTGGGTAGGAGATGCATTTGGGATTCTAAGGGTTTGTTTGATTTACGTCCGAAAAAGAAGTATTTGAAATTAATTTTGGAAAAGAGTTTTTTTTAAAAAATATTTTTATATTACAAAACTTGTTTGTTTATATGTTTTAGAAAATATTTTTAAAGAACAAAAACTTGTAAAACGTGTTTGAACAATAATTTAATAACCTCTCAATTTTCATCTTCATTCTCATCTCTTTTAGTCTTTTTTGTCTCTCTCTCCATTATCTCCTCTCACAATCTCTACCCGCACAACTCACATAGCAAACACACGCACAAAACTTACATATATATGCATATCTGAACACACACACACACACACGCACAAGCAGACGAAAGAACAAAAAATGGGAGGCCTTTGTTGCTAAAAAACTTTGAAGTGTGGACTTCATTAAAGAGGATGAAATGTTTTTCGTGTTTTCTATTTTGGCTTGAAAATACAGAGAACATCATTAGATGCTCTGATTTTTTATCTCAGTTTTCATTTTTTTTGAAAAATTCTAATCAAATAACTTTTCTCTAGTTTTTAATGTTTTGAGAACAAAAAATAATTTTTGAAATACAATCGAAACAGGCCCTTAGGTCTTGAGTGATTCTTTATCTATTTTAAGCTTTTGGGTTCAGGTGGGGGAGATTTTCACGTATCCCAGCTTGGTTGGGTAGGGGGTGTCATTTGGGGTTCTAAGGTCTCGGGTGGTTCTCAATCTAATTCTTTAAACTTTGGGATTACTGTGATTTGTGAAGGAGAAGTTCTCTACTGGTGTTCAGTTTTGGGCCTGCATGCCTTACGATTTTTATGATTAGAATGATACTATATTTAGTAGGATTATTATTAAGTGACGTTGATTTGACCTTGATGTAGTGGTAAAATTTTATCATAACTTAAAAACTCCAAAAGTTCGAGCGATAAAAACAACTTCTTGCATGGTTTGAAAGATCAACTAACAACTTTCTAATTTGCAACACATTAACCTTAAGTAGTGGATTTACCAACCGTGTATAAACTAAATTCACCTGGAAAAAGTTATCGCAAAGTGAAGTGTAATCAGCATCTCCATGGAAACGATTGATCGTTTAAACTTCAATTCCCAAACAAACGAGAAATTTCAGCACCAATTCGAAAGCTACTTGGAGGGTTATGCAAGGCATTTTTCAATTGAGTTTAAGTTAGGAGAGGAGGAGGTTCAGTGGTCTGACTTTGATGGCACAATCAGATGCTGTACAATTCTTCTTGTGCAGTATTGAAACAAATGAGCCAAATATAAACCATACGGTTGTGTCCAACTTAACAACATAAAATCAAAAGAAAGTTAGCAACATCAGAACAGTTTAATCATCCAATGAAGAAGCAAGGGACTCAAGTCTGTTGTTGAGAGAAGAAACTTAGTATCCTAGATAAAATATATTCAAGGGACGATACTCAGTATCCTAGAGATAAGTACTTTACGGAGGTCAAACAAAGGAAAATAACATCTCAAAGTTCCATGTGCTCAAAAGAGAACCCCAAAATTCCAAAAGACAACAAGGAGAAACTATTTAACCAACTATACTTGGGACCCTAATCCTAAATGAGTACTTATACACGGGTAAAACAAAGGAAAGAATTACACCTCAAAATTCCATGTGCTCTCAGCACTAATTTGGGAACTTTCGACTTGTCCGCCAACTTCAGAGATGCTAAAATCTGGTAGGATTTGATGGAAAAAAAGAGAGGTTAAAACATGACGAAAAATCATGGTAATTTAAGCAAACAATACAATAAATCCTCTAGTGAAAGAAGCAACCTATATACAATATATTTGTTGAACATATGATATTTCTATCTGTTAAATATCACCCTACCATAGGTGTTGTTAAATTATGACGGCTAGAGGGGAATCGCTATTTGGTCGCCTTGAAAAACTTTGCACTACCTACTTATGCAACAATTTTGTTCAATAACTTGACTTGTCGGTTGCATGTTTTTGAGTAACCCACAGGCCTGAGAGGCAAGCATCAATCCCAAACCCTATCTGTCTAATATGCATGGTCCACATGAACCATTGACAAATATAAACTAGCTAATGAACTCAGATATATGAAGTTTAAATCTAGAAATATTACAGGAACACTCACATAAGGAGAAATACATTTGATCACAAAAGCTAGGGGGAAAAAGAATGACACAGAGTAGCCACAAAGTTACAAAAATAGTAGCAACTCCCGACACTACAAGTTTTGGAGAGTGTCAGACGCACTTAATATTTCTCTGTCTTTGCGGAAAGTGTTTTTGTGACATGAACATGTAATGCCCAAGCTACAACAGATTAACCTTACCCCTGCACCGTGGTCCGCCCTCTAGAGGCCACAGAATTGCAAACATCTCCCAAACAAGAGTTGTGTTCCAAAACATTTTCAATGCAAACATTTACTGGGATCATCTTCAGATTTTACATCCTATTTATCAATGGTTAGCCTTTTGACCCTGTTCTGCTTTCCTCATCATTTTTAAGTCAAACCCTTGTGAAAAACAAAAGGACAATACTGAGAACTGGAATAAGTACTTTCATTAAAATTCCACCCAGTTTATATCATCATAATCATGAGAGTCACCCCCACCACACAGGACTGACCTCCACATCCTATTCCACCTTTCCAATGCACCCCAATTCTTTTTGTGGGTAGCGTAGATTTCGCCTTTTGTGATAATCAATATGGGTGCAGAGCCAAATAGACCTGATAGGGCCAATTAACCCAACTTTGATTTGGATGGAAAAATTAATGGAAGAAATATCGAATTTTTGGGTTTTTTTCATTTGATTGACCTCTCTACAATATTGAAAGAACATAAAAGGTATGGTCTCTTTTCCTTTAATTTTCTCAAGAAAAAATAAGGGTATTGTCAAAAATGGTTAATGCCCAAAAGCATAAATAGCGAAGGGATTTTCTCTCTCCCCCTCTTCTTCTCCACCCTTTCTTTCCCCTTTATAATTTCTCTTTTTTTGGTGCATACATACACTTTTGATATCAATCTAGTCACAAAAAAATGTTACATTATGCAAGATGAATCCAATTTCCAAACAATATATTGATAAGTGTATGGGCGGATCTACTAGTGCGCTTCGGTGGGCTGAAGCCCAGAGTAAAAAAAAAAAAAAAAATTTACCAGCCCACCTCCACCCAAAAAAAAAATCCCATCCAACCCAACCCAACCCACTTGCAAAAGTTCCCCAAAATCAGTAGAGTCCCCATCCAACCCACCTGCAAACCTGCAAAACTCCTCTCTTAGGCAAGTCCCATCCCCAAATCTCCGGACAAGCAACGGTGCAACACACAGGCCTGCTCTTGGTCTAATCCTTCCATCAAATCTCTCTCTAGACTCTAGTCTCTATAGGGATGGTGGTGCTGAACCCAATGCAGAGATTGAAGTCTTCGGGTGTTGTTGCGGGGTTTATAGCAAAAGATGAGGACAATGACTGTGTGGTTTTGGATGGTGATCCTGATAAACCAGTGGCAATAGAAAACGATTCAGGGGCTGATTCAGATGATTTGCTCGGTCTGCGTGGGGGCGTGAAGCGAGAGAAAATTTTCACTAACAAGGTACAACTTTCGCTTTACGTTCTTCATTACATCTCATTTCTTTGCCTTCTGGGTTCTATTGTTATTGTGTGTGTCGGATTTTGCTTTTTGGGTAGCCATAATATTGAGCATTCATTGATCTGTATGGTTCACTGTTCAATATATTACATGGGCTTTGTCTAATGGCTGCTAAGTAGAATTTGTACTATCCTTTATACACTATGCTCAAAATTGTAGTGAACTTAAGATCATATGCAATATAGTTAGCGTTGTATGAATTTTTGGTTAGACCAAACTGCTAATGATACCAGCATGAAACATTTATCATATCGGTGTTAATCAATTAGAGGGGAATACTATGAAGATGAGAGTTTTATTTTATTGTCTCTTGATGAAGGCTGATCTCTAGATGGTGAGCTTGTAGTATGGGTAAGAAATTATGTGCTCAGAGAGCAAAGAAAGATGATGATTGTGTCTCTATGATAGGCTTGATTGTGTCAATGGAATGGATGGCCCTGTTCTGGATCACAAGAATTTGAGAGTTGATTGAAATTTACAATTGAATGGTGCTTTGGTTGAGAATCCATTGCAGTGATTTTGTTGTAATTGGTTGGAGTATACTTTCTTTACCTAGGAGGAGATTAACTTTTTGGTTTGTCTGTTAGGGAATGGGTTTAGAGGGCTGGTTGGGGGAGGGAAGAAACTTCAGAGCTTGGAAAAGGTGGTCTTGTACCAACTCGGGGGACTTATCTAATATTCTCTATAGTAATATTCTGCAATGGAGTGTGTGATGTATACCTACAAATATTCATATGAGTGCACAAGGGTAGTTCTGCAATGTAAGTGTTTATGAGTTTACATTTGTATTATGAAATATATGTTTATGAGTTTACATTTTTATTTTGTTAGTCATATGAATGCTTAGCTTAGCCCGGGATAAATAAAAATCCTGGCTCTGCCCTTGGATAAGTGAATACTAATCCTTCAACATCTGAGATTTAACCCAATTAAATCGGGAAATATTATGTTGCCAACAAGTATTTCTAAACAACGCAAAGTAAACAAACAAATAAATGAAGGGCACAAAAAAGAAAAATGTTCATAGTAAAATTGCCATACCCTGAAGCCTCCATTTTGCTTGGAACTCCTTGATCACTCCAACCCCAAATTCTTGCTCGATGACTGATATGAAGCCCTGACATCATCCTCATGAACCCTTCTCAACACTACTAATTTCCACTAATTCTTAGCAAAATCATAGCACGACTCGAAAGAAGTCGACCTTCCTTCATGCAAATAACTGTACTTTAACCTACGGTTCCAAGAACCAAACCCATAATTTGCTGATAACTTGTTAGTCGGGCCAAGCACAAGTGTCCCGTCAAGCTCCGTCAGGTTCTCTCCCTCCAGTGCATGTACATCAAATTCAAAGGTTTTCCCAAAACCCTAACAGTATCCGTAAATTCAAATGCTACACCCTACAAAAAAAATGAAAGTTAGAATTGTTTATGAATGCAGTATTGAAGATCCGTTTCGTTTGGTTGCTGAGAAAATGTGACAAAGAATTTCTTATTTGGTTTTCTTACCTTTTTGTTGTCATAGTAGTCGATGCTGAATGAGCCGGGTTTTTTGAGGGAAAGAGTGACCGCCGTTGGCGAAGGTGGCGTCTGTCATGGAGGCTCGGAGGTTAACATCGCCGTTGTGGTTGCACAGGGCATTGTCATGTATGCAGAATCTTCTCCAACCTCTGCAGGTGTCAACACACACAAATAGAGGATTAGGGTGAATATTGTCCAGGTGTGACAAAGTTTATCATATGTGCAGAAAAGAATTATTATGTGCATAGTACAATGTTAGAGCAACTCCAAAAAGTCAGGTAAAACCCCATTTTTAGCTATTTTAAGTAATTTCTTTATGTAATGTGGTTTCAACATACTAGTTATTTTCTTATCTATTCTTCATAACTCTATTTTCACTAGCTACGTCTAACTAGTCACTTCTCACAAGTTACATCCAACAAAACTCCCCAAAAATCTAATAGACTCTCCCAAAAATCCATCAACACCCCCAAAAAATTAAGTAAAACCACCCAAAAAATCAATAAACTTCTTCCAAAAATCTGACTTCGGTTATCTGTGTAATTTGAGGTGATTTTGTTTTGAATTTTATAGTTTAATTTGAGAGAATTTAGTTTGAGAGTAGTAATTTTCGAGAGGTGGGTTCTCTCTTATAACCTATAATTGATTAAATTTGTACAATGTATAGTTCAATTGTAATTTTTTGAATTTTATTATTGAAAGTTAGTTAAAATTAATTGAAGTGGTTAGCTAAAATAAATAGCGTTGTTGGAGTAAATTTAAAAAAGTGCTTAGCTAAAGTAGATAATACAATACTTAAATATATTTTGAGTAACTATTTTAGATAGTATTGTTGGAGATACTTTTAGCGGAGGAATTGTTAATTAGATATTTGCTTAGTTAGTGGAGTCCTTAAATTATGTTCCCCATAAATCAGTTGTTTTAGTTATTGGGTTTAGTGGGTCAATTATTTACTTTTGTTTGTAAGTTATTTAAGTTAACTCTATTAATGAAAAAAAAAAACATTCTACTTTTACAAAACCCAGATATTGGAGTAGAAGATTGGGCCCCTCGAAGAGCCTATTTTCTCTCTCAGATTTTCAGTATTTTACAAGTGGTATCAGAGCCACTGTTCCTCCATGGTAGAGGAAACTCGTTTTACCCAATTATCTAAAACAGTTCACTTGCTGAAGAATGAGCAAGCAAAACTCAAAGGCGCCCAAGTCTAGCAACAAGATTTACTTGAAGAGCTTGTACAACAAGTGAGTAACCTTGTAACCAGTTATGCTTTCTTGTTCCAAGCCATTAACCAAAACATAACCAACCCATATTTTCCACAAACCATCATCCCCAACAGCAGCCAAATACAAGAACCATTCCTAGATTTGCACCCACCACATATTACCCATGAAAATCCTGTGTTTGAAGGGCAAGGTGGAATTCAAGGTTGAACACTTCGATTAGATTCCCCCAAATTTGATGGTCATGATCCTAGTGGATGGGTTTTCCGTGCTAAACAATTCTTTTCTTATTACCACACTCCTGATGCTCAAAAAATTCAAATTGCTTCATTCCACATGAAAGGCAAGGCTCTGACTTGGTACCAATGGCTATTGGATTATAGTTTGGTAACAACTTGAGAAGGTTTCATCTAGGCTTTGAAGGTAAGGTTTGCTTTTACCCTTTTCGATGATCCAGTTGCGGAGTTCACCAAAATGTGACAAACAACAACGGTGGAGGAATATCAAACTCAGTATGAAATTCTCTTTAACAAAATTGCTGGTCTTACTAAAGAATTTCGAATTAACACCTTTATTAGTGGCCTTTGAGAAGATATACAAGTTATGGTCACCATGTTTCACCCTACCTCTTTAACCATTGCTTTTGACTTTGCCCAATTACAAGAGGAAGAAGTTTGGTGCCGCTATCACAACCCAAGACCTTCCCTTTTTTCCTATTCTATTTCGAACCCATGCACTGGAACCCAAAACCATTACCCATGGTTACCCGGGTCTCCTAACCCACCAAAGTTGTTAGGACCATCAAACCCAACCCCAACCGACAAAATTACCCCACTATTAGAATGAGTCCTAAACCCAACCTACCTGTCCAACGCATATCCTTAGTCCAAATGAAGGAAAGAAGGGATCGTGGTTTATGTTATTATTGTAATGATAAGTGGTCACCGGGCCACAGGTGCAAGAGACCCAAGATTTTTCTACTTGAAGGTATTAATGAAGAAGTTGGGGAGGAAGCATCAGAGGAGGTGAATGCCACAGATGTTACTGAAGGAGAACAAGTAGTTGCTGATGAAAGAACCAGGTTATTGGAGGTTTCCCTCCATGCCATCACAGGAGCTCCTGCTCCAAAGACCATGAGGCTAGTTGGGAAAATTAATAACCAAATAGTGGTGGTTCTCATAGATAATGGAAGCACCCATAGTTTTGTTGATTACAATGTGGCAAGAAAGGAGAAATTGTCAGTAGGTGGAGGGAGTAATTTAACTGTCATGGTGGGGAATGGAGAAAAAATTTCTTGCCTTGGTTGCTGTGAGGAAGGCCATTTCTCTCTGCAAGGTCAATCTTTTTTCACTACCCTTTATCTCTTGACCTTAGGTGGTTGTGATCTAATGCTTGGAGTGAACTGGTTAAGCACATTAGGGCCTATTCTTTGGGACTTTGCTCAACTGACAATGAATTTCTTTTAGGATGGCAAAAAAGTGAAATTACAAGGGCTTAACCCATCGGCATTACAAGTGGAAGAAGAGCAGCAGTTCACCAAAGGTATCAAGAATCATAACAAGGACCTAATATTGCAAATAATCGAGTCCCAAACGGAAGGGTAAACACATTGCGAGGTACCTGAAGCGCGAAGACTCTTAGAAAAATTTGAAGAGGTGTTTGATAAGCCTAAAGGATTGCCCCCTTCCTGGGAGCAAGATCATAAAATTCCTTTAGGCAAAGGAACGCAACTAGTGAGTGTACGACCCTACTGCTACCCTTACTACCAGAAACAGGAGATTGAACAATTGGTCAAAGGGATGCTTGAGATGGGAGTAATACAACTAAGCCAAAGCCCTTATTCCTCTCTAGTTTTGGTAGTAAGAAAAGTTGATGGCAGTTGGCGCATGTGTGTGGACTACCGAGCACTCAATCAAGTCACAATTAAAGATAAATATCCAATCCTTGTCATTGATGAGCTCTTAGATGACTTCAATGAGTCTATCATTTATTCTAAGCTAGACTTGAGAATTGGTTATCACCAAGTCAGGGTGTGTTCGGAGGATGTACCTAAGACAACGTTTCGCACACATGAGGGGCACTATGAGTTTTTAGTGATGCCATTCAGGCTCCCTAATACCCCATCTACCTTCTAGGAACTCATAAACGAATTGTTCAAACCACACCTACGTAAATTTGTACTGATATTCTTCGATGACATACTTGTTTTCAGTAAGACCTGATTGACCATCTAGCACATCTAAGGATAGTTTTAGAAATACTAAAAAAGAATCAATTATATGCGAGACTGTCCAAATGTAGATTTGGGTGTAGGGAAGTGGATTATTTGGGACACCTCGTCTCGGGCCAAGGGTTTAAGACGGAC